ACAGTGCAAATCTATACTTATTTTCCTCCTTGCTTTATATTTTATTCAACAGTTTTAATCCGTTATGGAGTTCGCGTCCCGTACGTGGCACCAAAGCGTTGCGCCTGCCTCAAGATCTCTCACTATTTACAGCCACTGGACACCGCGATTGATGCACGTGATTTTTAATGTTATCTTGCCTTGGCTGTGGCGTGTTCTGTGACAGCTGCACCTAGATCTGACTGGTGAAGTGTCATCTGGGGCAGGCAGAGTAAGAGTAGCAGCATTTTCTGTTTTGTCACATGCATCTATCGGATCGTAAACAGACTGAGAGCTCTTGAGGCAGGTGCACATAGGCTATTAGATAGGAATAAGATATAGGTGGCAAATAGGTAAATACGTGTAGATTTGCTCTGTTTGTTTGCTTAAGTGCATCAAGTGGAGTGCAAACGGTAAAAGGTCTTGAGGCAGGTGTGACACGCTCTCTATTACGGATTAAAAGTGTGTAAGTGAGTATAAACAGTGAGAGATGCTGAGACAGGTGAAAAGCGTTTGGTTAATAGTGAATATTGACTTATTGTGCGTAACGTTGTGGCTCCCGCTGTTAGCAGGGGATAATCGCTACATTTGGGGTAAAAAAGACAGAATTATGTATTGTGCCAAGAAGGTTGTACTGTCTGTTCGTTCACACAGGTACAAAACTGATTGGTAGCTGCCTTTAGCGGAGCCTTTACCGATTACCTCCATTGATCAGAGCATTCGGCACGGTCGTCTGTGAGTGACGTCACCTCCCAATACAAACACGCCACCTAGTATAGTCCTGCCCCTGACGATGATTGGCAGCTTTCCATGTAGACATCGGAAATTCAAATGCAAAAGGAATTGCGATTCCATTTGAGTTTTGGCAGGTTACATGCGCGACGCAGCGAGAGTGAAAAAGCAGACGTGGTAATTAATATTGCTATTTAAATATGATAGGCTCATAACTCCTAAGACATGGGAAATACAGTTGCAAATGGACTTTGCTTTTTCATTTGAAATTTGGCAGTCACTGCGTTCGCGAAAGCGAAAATGCAAACGGTAATGCAGGATTTGCAATTGCATTTGGATTATGTCACAATTTATGCGTCCACATATGGAAAACGCAATTGAAAATACAATTTGCAATTCCTTTTGAAAATAGTCCGGAATATCGTTCCATAAATAAAAGTTACGCCTTCTTTCTTTGCGTGAACATTTGGGCGGCATTATGCAAATCTTCCCACATCATGACGTAGACATATGGGGGCATGTTAGAATGAGCCGTTTTAGGTAGGCGTGGTTGACTCTTAACTTTTATAAAGAATATCTCTTTGGATTTGAGACTTTAGTCTTTGCAACTCTACAGATCTTCTTTATGCACCAAGAGCTTGTAACACTCCGAAGAGAAAGGAAAAATTGAAATCGCATCTTATATGACCCCTTTAAATAATTTTGAGTCCATTTTAGAAGTTTGTTAAGGACCACTGTTATACATACTATGGCTTTTGGCTCTATAGATTTCAGTTCCGAGCGAAAATGTTGATATAAATAATTTCAACTTACCTTTCTTTTTTTTTTCTTTCAGTTTGGGCGGACGGAAGTTATTGATAACACTTTGAACCCAGATTTTGTGCGAAAATTCATATTGGACTACTTTTTTGAAGAAAGACAGAACTTAAAGTTTGATCTGTAAGTACCAATATATATTCTTTTACCTTTAGCTACATCTACACTAGCCTTCAGTTTCAATACATTTACATTGTAACTAGTCTGGGTGCACAGAACTTTAAGAGGATTGACTCTTTTATGTATTAGAAACTTTACCGGGTTTTACAAATATGTTAAAGAATTTGGAATTACCTTTCAGGACATACTTTAATAATTTGTCTTCTTGATATCATAAGACAACATATATTACTTTTTCACTGTGTGTTTGTTCAAATTAGAGGAGGGTGAAAGTGTAAATATTATGTTGAAATGATATGTTGATTTTGGAAGTGTATTTACTCTAAGTATACTTAAGTGCCTTTATTTCATTAATATATTATGCACATTCAGTACAATTAAGCACACTTTCTTTTTCTAAAAGGGTGTTAATACATTCCCTGGGAGTCAAACCCATGACTCTGATATTATAGCTAAAATATTGGAATTTGTCTCTTTTTATATGCACAATTTTTGGCAATTTGTATACACTTTGGGCGGGTGATATGTGTTATGCAATTAAAAATACAGTAATTAACATACATTCAAGTTTAAGAATAAATTGTGGTTGAGTGAACTAAAACTGAGGTGTCCCCATGATTGTTAACTGATTTTCATTTTTTTATGCATTTATAAGTGTCAACTAATTCAGATTTTTCACCAGCCCACACCTTCAATGCACTCATTAGTTTTTTTAAAGAAAGTTTGGTGCAAATTAATTAGCGGGTAACATAAACATTTATTTAATCCACATAAAAGTGTAATCCTGAAATATGAAACCACTTTGACAAGAAAAACTTGTATTGTAAGGTTATTATTAGGCATGGCATCTTGGTACATCAAACACTGCAGTACGCTTCAACAACAGATGTGTCAGCTACTGTAAACCCAACTGTATCATCATATGATTTGTGTGCTTTTATAAGCAGATGTCACAACCAAAACCCCTTCTCACGAATCACACATACTGTGTGAGCAACACTGTATGGACACCGGTCAAGGTCTCTTACCCTGACAGTGTAGTTACAGGAAAAAAAGATACGATTCTATAATTATGGAAATATGAATTTTAGTTTACTGACACATTTCCTGATTTCCTGTATAAGTATTTTGGGTCACTTTTCCATGAGAGTATGTGATGCACGGTGGTACTGTAAGTTCTCTGTCTTGTGAAACAGACCCCCATAAGCTGTTGATTCACCATGTGAAAGATCTCCCCCCTATCAGCCATCATGAGGTCTAAACTAATCACCCCAGCACATGACTCCAATGCTCTGGGTCGACTTCCTGTCAGTCTTGTCTCATCTACTCAGAGGAGTGATGAAAAACTGATCCAATCAGGACTCCACATGATAAATTGAAGCCTCATGTTAATATATGCACGCTCCGCCTTGCAACAAGTCGATTGGAAGATCGCGCCGTGGGGCAGACCAAAGTCAGTCTGCTTAAAAATGGACACAAAGCTCGCTCGCTCTCTAGAACTGTGGCTTTTCGCCTTGGTGACCGCGCAACAAAGCGCTCCCATGCCGTAACATCACGAGCGAGACTCCAAAACTCAAACACTTCAGTTGAAACTCCGCGACTGCCGAACTTCAAAGTCTAAATCCAAGCAAAGGAACTCTCAGAAGAACTCCAAACATCACTCTTTGTGCCCAAAGCAACCGACTTTCGAAGCTCCTACGTCACAAGGCAACCTCCATTCTCCAGGAAGGTGCGTGTTTGTATGTGTGTTTTAGCTTAGTTTAATGTAATCTAGAATAGCCAATAAATTCTTGTTCCATTTATGAAGAATCATTGTCTTGCGTTGTAATTTTAAAGTTGAACCTTGCCAAGATCTTGTTACCTAGCTCGTAGCTTATAACTTATCAAAGCACGTATTACCCGTGGCCAGGGAAAATACAAATATTCAAATTGTTAAAATATACCGAGGTTAACGTCTCGCTGGACGACCGTTGATAAAGTGTAAACTATCAAATTGGAAATCAGTTCTAATCAGTTGGCTTCAAATTTTCAGATTCGATTCCGTTCAAAACCTGAATTAATTAATAATAATTAATTCCCTAAGAAAAGTAATCTGATATTACAGTACCATATTAGTTATCGGTTGATGGTAAACTTTTTAAAATCTATCAGTATCATTTAGTATTGGATATTTAAAATTGTGCATACTTAGTTCTGCTATTTTTACATTTATATTAATTGTAGGTGACAGCAAAGGTAATATTAAAACACTTTTCAAAGTAGTCTTAACCCAGTTCCAAAATTAATATTGATTTTACATACTATACATTATCATTTTGTGATGCGAAAATTCACTTGCAGAATTTAAAATGACTGATTTTAGTTTTAGTGTTTTATTTTTTATATATAATTATATAAGAAATTTATCAGTTATTGACCATAACGTGAAAATAATTATTGGCATCAGTGTTATTTTACTATTATTTACGGTTTATAATATAATAGTATTTAATAATATTTTAAATTAGCTTTAACTTTATATTTACAGTTTTCCATTTTAATTGAGACATGTGTCCAAACCTTGGATCTTTGCAACAGACGTTATAAATCTGGCCTGTGCGCATGTTCATCTGTGTATTTGCGTGTGTGCTAATATTTATTATTTTGTGTCAGTCTAAATGTGTTTGTGTCTGTATATTTAGGCATTTATGGGTGTATTTAGGAACAGATATGAGTCATTCTGAATCCGTTGGCCCAAGTGTGTGTGAGGAATTTGTGTGTGTCTCTAGGCTTCAGCATGAGTGTGTATGTCTGCATGCAGAGCGTGTATGTGTGCGTGTGTGTGTGTTGTCTCTGTGGATCGGTGTCCCCGCTCGACGGCCTGTCATACTGGGTCTGTAAATCTGCAGCAGACATGAGAGGGGTCACGAGGTCGTGTGGGAAGTGCCTCCGAGATGATAGCAAAACCAAAGCACCGCTGATAAGGATGACATGACACATCGCAATGACAACAAGGGGGACTGAGCCCCACAAATAAATGGAAGAAGCACAGAGAGAATTAATAGATAAACGTGAGGTTGAGCTATATGTAACCCTAGATATATTTCAGGATTCATAGATCCTTCAATAATTGTTGCTTTTCTAGTCCTATTTTTCTCTCTCTCTTTATGGCTTTATCTCTATGTTGCATTGTGACAGGGCAGAAGAGAATTATTCATGATGTCTGTGCTTTAATGATGTTGTTCTTCCTTCTTAATGAGAAACAGGCAAGCGTCAACTCCCTTCATAAGACCATAATCTAATTAAAGCCCAGCTCAAAGTATCCCACCACTGATTTTGGAAACAACCTCTGTCTTTTTCTTCTTTTTATTGCAAGCTTTCCTGAGCAAACATCACTATTACTCATGCTCATACTTAGGGTTAGGGATTTGAACATCTAGAACATTGGTGTCAAATTCAGTTCCTGGAGGGCCACTGTCCTACAGAGTTTAGCTCCAACCCTAATCAGCTAATCAAGGTTCTCAGGGTTGCAAGACACTTCCAAGCAGGTGTTTTGGAGCTGGTTGGAGCTACACTCTGCAGGACACCGGCCCTCCAGGAGCGGCGTTTGACACATGTAGGGGTGTCCAAACTCTGTCCAGGAGTTTTGCTCCAACTTGCCTCAGCACACCCACCTGAAAGTTTTTTTAGTATGCCTAGTAAGGGCTTGATTGGCTGGTTCAGGTGTGTTTAATTGGGGTTGGTGCTGAACTCTGCAGGACAGCGGCCCTCCAGGAGCTGGATTGGACACCCCTGGTCTTGAACCATCTAGAACAGAGATAGGCAACGTCGGTCCTGGAGTGCCACTGTCCTGCAGAGTATAACTCCAACCCTAATCAAACACACATAAATAAGCTAATCAATGTCTTCAGGATCACTAAGGCTACAGGCAGGTGAGTTTTTTTAAGGGTTGGAGCTAAACTCTGCAGGACAGCGGCACTCCAGGACTGGTATTACTTATCCCTGATCTAGAAACACCTTAGCAAAGACTCCAAAAACCATAGCAACCATCTGGCAATGCTCTAGCAACCACCCAGCACTCACTAGCAATTGCACAGCAATGCCTTAGAATCATCAAGAACACTATCATCCACCTAAAACAGGGATGAGCAAGGCCATGGTCTTGCAGAGTTTAGCTATCAAATCAAACACACCTGAAAAATCTAACATGGCTGCGTTACATTTTGTTTTTTTTATGCCCTTCCCTCACTAACATCCCTCCATCATGTTGACTCAGATGTATATCATTGATAACATTGCAGGATTGCCCACCTCTGGCAGAACCTTACAATAGGCTGAATTGGAGCGTCCTAAGTCCTTGATCACTTTAAATCTGTTGTGGAGCTTATTTATTATTTACATTTTCTGAGATGTTTTGGGTAGGGGTAAATTAAACGTGATCTGTGGTGACATCACAATCGTGCTGCCTTTTACTATATGGAGCGGCCTGAATTATACATATGAAGTAGACTCACTCCCTCTGTCAAAAGTTAGGGATCGAGGGTCTGTCCATATAAATTGTCCTGGTCCAGTTCACGGAACGCACTTCAAAATTGCAGTGGGGATTCCCCTGAGGGAAAGGGTTTAGGGAAGTTTGCATCTAAAAGTGAAGAATTCCTTGAAAATTACAAGCAGGTGTGTTAGATCAGGTATTGAACTAAACTCTGCAGGACAGTGGCCCTCTAGGGCTGCATTTGTCCATCACTGATCTATGAACACCATAGCAACTACCCAGAATACCATAGTAACCACCTAGCAACACTCTAGCAACCACCCAGTGCTCACTAGCAATTGCATAGCAATACTTTAGAACCCACTTAGAATTATCCAGCAGCCACACAGAACACAATACCAACCACCATTAAATGGATAGTTCACCCACAAATAAAAATTATATAATCATTTGCTCACCCTCATCTCTTTCCAAATCCATAAGACTTTCGTTCATCTTCGGAACACAAATGAAAATTTCGGTCCCTCCATTG